AATATTCATCCTAATTTGTTCAACTTGTATTTCAGAGCACAAAGAATAAAATAGTTATTCTTCCTTTTGTGAAGGCCCACTCTGATCTATTGCATTTGAGTAAATGCGTGAAACCAACTTACAGATCCCTGTGAGCATAAATGTAATTGATAGTGACAATAGATATTAAATTGTGTAATTCCTCTGAGTTATAGTACAGCAGGTGACTTAATTCATTGATACGGCAGAATAAGTTCATTTACCATTTACTGCAGAAAATGTAGCGTCTCTCCATAGTTACAGTATTTCTTACTGTAGTCTCCTTGAAATCATTGTGTTTTTTGAGTAGTGCACTTAAAATGAACAATACAATAAATGTAAGTATTAAATATCTAACTGGAGAATTAGAGCCACTTTCTATTCAATGCTTTATGATATATTTGTGTTACCTTATCAGGGTATGCCTGTGGTATTTTGAGGAGCGATGCAAGGTTGCTGTGCCAGCTCTGCCTCTGTTGGATCAGAGCTGGGTAGGATGGCCCTAGGAGAGCTAACTCCTTTTATGTGGCCTTAGGAGAGCTAATTCCTGTGCTGTGGTTTCATGGCTTTTGTCCGACTCAGATAAAGCTCAAATCTGCCTGAAATATACCATGGTGACATACCCTACACCATCCTCTTCACGCTGTTGACCTAACTCTTGTGGGACAGTCATTATACTTTATTAAAAGAACTTGCTAAAAACCTGAAACTACATCCTCGCAATGGGAGGAACGATGAGGAAAATAACAATATGGAAATCCAAACACCCTCAAAGCAGTGTTATGCAGTTACTTGTAATATACCTGACCAATGTTCCTAATAAAGAGTAAATACGGTCTCAGCAAACTGATAGCTGCGTTCATGAAAAAGCTGCTTTCCTGCCTGTATGCAATCTGCCTCTTACTTTCTTACCTTAACTTTAATGTAGCTTTTTGTCTTCTGTGACAGAGCTACCACAGTTTGCACATTCATCGTTGCAGCACAAGGCACTCTCACTTGCAGTAGCCTTCTTCAAGTTCTGGGTATGACCAACAGCAAAAACCTCAGCATTAGTTTCTCATCAGCCAAAACCAAAGTCATGCAAAAATGGCCTTTACATTTGCTGGCTTATTCTGTGAAACAATCTGGCTGGCTGGCAGTGCAGGTGTTTAAGCGTAAGGGCTTCCTGTGGTTTAAGATTTGACAGACTCCAGTTGGTACCCCTAGTTATTTGACAGTGATGTGGCAACACTAAGTGGTTGCTGATGAACAGGTTTGCAGTGATCATGCCTCTGTTTTCTGTTTTTGTTTTTTGTTTTTATCTTTTCCTCAGGGGAAATCGCTCACATCAAAGAGGTTAACCAGTCTAGTGCAGTCCTACTAAAAGGATCACCTTGTAGCATGGAAGCAGACTCAAATCATTATACATACTTTGTAGCTCACTGATTGCCTGACTCAGAGGACAGTAGAACAAGATGTTGCATGAGCAAGGACCTGACTTGTTTTCTTTTGTGTATACTAAGGCATTACAGACTCCGAGGGACTCTCTAGCCTTTCGATGCCTCCATTTCGAAAACTGTCTGCTCACTTCCTCCTTCATATCAAGCTGGATCTGTGTCTTTTTATTTTCTGCAAGCTCAAGTACAGTGAAAAAAAAGCTTCTGCTAGGCACAGTTTATTAAAAAAATACGTCAATCAAAAACTGGAAGAAATGTAAAAAATGCATATATTAATAAATATACATATGGCATCACATTTATTGCACAATAAATTAGCACAGAAGGTTTCATTTCACTGATGTATTCACATTGAGAAAGAAAGCCTGTGTCTTTGTCTGTTGTCTGTATATTCTCTGTTAATGTTTCTTGCATTTATTTTTATACCATATTTAAAAAAAACACCTTTTACTCCAGATGTATTAAAGTTGATCCTTTCTCTGTAAATTTGTGTATGTTTATATTGTTGTTTTATCTTTCATTAAAAGATGCAGAATCTCTTTCCTTTGGGAAGTTTGAGATTTTAATATTGAATCTGAAGATTAGTCAAGAGCAAAATCATCAACAGAAGTTACACACCTTGTGCTTTCTAAAAAGTGACATGCAATGGCATTTTCTTTCTCTCAGTGACACCTAATCAAACACACTTTATTGATAATCATTTACTTTTTATTTTCTTTTTATCAAGCTAGCAGCAGAGAGACCTTTCCAGCTTGCTCATCATCACATAAGCAAACCTTTTTTTAAGGTAGACCTGTTCTGTAATAGTGCAGCCTGCACAGCGATTCAGTCACTACCCAAGACCAGAACGACTGAACTGCCTTTCCTTAGGGACGGACATGAACGAAGCTGGCTGAGAACACAAGTGTATACTTGCTAAATAGGAAGGACAGTGTTTCTTTCTCCTTGCTGTCGCTTGTGAAGCAATGCAATGTTTTAAGCTGAAAAGGTAGTGGTTTGGGAGTGCGAAGTATACTGTTTGTAGAGCAGACCTTGGGTAGTGATGCGGGAGGCTGGCATTTTAATTCAAGGGCTCTATTCAGCTGTGCTGTTGTATGTCTGCTGCTGAGATTGCTCACACAGAGACTATTGACAGGTTTATGAGAGCATGTAGATGTTGCCCATGAGACAGCAGATATGGAACTTCTGAAGCTAAACTGAGCTGGAACCAGAAATCTCTACTTGGCCTAAGAAATGGCACTTTTGACTGCTAGAGATGACGTAAGGACAGTAGGCAGAACCTCTGAGTAGGAAAGCGATGATGGGAACTAAGTCAAACGACAAAATGCTGATACCTCCATGGCATCGTAGGGTGCATAGGATGAACAAGTCTTTTTAGCAATGCACAGGATAGAGTCAGGACATCCAACTCTAGTACCATCTGTCATACTGACTTTGGTTTGATATTGAGAAACAGGAATCTTGTTTCAAAGGGACTACGAAACCTAAAAATGCGCACGCTCCCTCCCCACACACACAAAGCGGGACAGTCATAGACATAATCAGACAGTAAATTTGAATACATTAATGCTAGAGTCATCTCATTTAACATCGAATACCTCCCTGAGTTGTTGCTGCCAGGGCTCCTGCACAGAGCAGCTGTGGGCAGCTGGGAGCTGAGCTGCCTTCTGCTGAGAGCGCTCGCTTCTCCACTGGCTCTGTCGGTAGCCTGGTGCAGCCGTAGCCCTGACTGCGGCATCTCTACAGAGGTAGTCTGAATGAACCCAGGACAAAAGGCATTATCAATCACCATGGATGGCTGTTCCCCAGGTTTTGTTCAGTTGGGGTTTCTGGAGGTTCAGGATTTTTGTTTGTTCTTTGTTTTCCTATGCCACTGTGTTTCTGGTTTCTAGCTAGGATGATAATCACTGCTTTAAAGTGTCTCAGGTTTTGTTAGCACAATTCTACTAAGCTTTTATCAGAAAACACTGGAAATGCCCCATGAGAGCTTGATTTTATCAAGAGCTCCATCTAGGTCAACTCAAAATATTCACAATCTAGGGAGGCCAGATGAATTTTAATAAATAGCTGCATTGAACCCCAGATCTTCAACTCTTGAGATTTAATTTTCCTTCACCACAGAAATGCGAGCTCTGAGGCCTGAACTTGGGGCCAGGCAATCCACAGAAATTTGAGCTCTGTTTCACTTCTCAGTGCCAAATAGAGATATTTATTTCCAAACTCCTGCTGCCACCAATTGCATCAGCTGGTATATTGCCTGCTTTGCCTTAGGAGTTAACTAATTAGATACCAGTGTCTGCTTTGAAGAATCACTTCCTTGAAATAACTAATGTTTCAAATTCAGGCATGAGGTATTTCATGCAACTTCACCCTAAGAAATATATTTTTTTTCCAAATCACTTTGCAACACCAACTGGCCAGTGAAAAGATGTGGAGCATTTGTGTTCCTGAACCCATTTTGTATGTGTTCTAGTTCTTTCCTTTCAATAAATATGAAGTCTCTATTGAATGGCTGTCTTTCCTCGTATTTGCACAGGATTTAACACAATGTCTGTAAAGTAAAAATATGTATTACTAATAAGCATTTCAAAGTAGTCAGGGAGCTGTATTAACGTTTCATTTGAGCTTAGTTTCAAGTGATGCAACTCCACTGTTACATGAGTGAATTTGGCCCAAACAAAATCTGTCCTACAACCAGCTGATTTTTAAAGGGTTTGTCTGCAATCTTTTGATACTTCACCTGATCACTGTCATCTGCCAGTGATACAATACTGGGACTGGAAACTCCAAGTAGGCACAAACTTCCTTTTACTTCCTCATAGAGAAAAGCTAAATGCTTTTTTCCAAATTTATACGAAGATCCACTTCCAAGAATTAAGATTAACTCAGATTAAGGCATGTTTGTACAACCACCAAACAGCTGAAGTATGACTTTGGTTACACAATGATATACCCGTTAGGAATTTCAGTGAGGCCATGAGCCCGCTGAGGAAAAAAAGACCGAGAGAGAAACCCAATCTGAAGAAACCACGTTTCTTGTCTCCTGGGGAAAAGCCATCAATCAGTGCCTCCTGGCTCTGCCCAGGAAGCTAAGAACACCCTCTGTTGGGGAAAATTAATTGTAATATACATTAGAATAACCGCTTGGAGCTGGGAACTTCCATCTGAGAGCTGGGGTTCATCAGACAGTCTCTTTCCTCATGCATCCTTGTGCATAAAACAGCTCTTAAGCCTACAGGGGCAAGAAGTGGTTGCTGGTGCTGCTGCACCCTTGCTTTTGTGCTCCCAGACCAGCCTGGGAAGGAACATGGCCAGTGGGAGAGACGGGAGCTTCCCTGGCACCTACCTGAGAACAGCAAAATATTCACCCATTCTTCTGTGAGGCGCAGTTAAAAACCGTCCTTCAACCTTACAAAACCGAAGAGGCAGGAAAAAGGCCTTAAGCCAAAGCAGGCAACTAAAGTGAGGGAAGGCTGTTTTCTTTAAGGAACAGGAATGAGGAGTTGGGAATGACCAGTGATTTATTTGTGGCTCTTCCAATTATTTATCTTTATGCCAAGTGATTAACAGCTGTTTGAATTTAGATTTTTAAATTACCATATTTTTAATGTCCCTTCTAGCTAGAGACGTTGTGCTAACACTGGACTTATTAACTTAGGGGCATAAAACACAGGAATTTTACTAAAAGAAAGTTAATAGCTATAGGGACCTATATAAAATAAGGTTTTAATCCCAAGATGTTCAAGAGAAATTATCAACATTTCTTTGAACATATTCTGTGTCCACAATTCATTTAAGCAAGCTACTAAGTGGCTGTGAACCATATCAATCTGCCTTTTGATCTGACTGTGCTGAACAGATTAATGCTTTTGTCTCCTGTGAGTTGAAGATAGGCTGAAGTCCCAATATCAGAGAGGCGGAGGGGAAGAGGACGATCCCTCTGAGGCCAGGCTCCCCTTCCTTGTGCTGTTCTGGACTGCTCAGGTGACATGTGTACAAATAAATGGGTTTTGTTTGTACAGACATTGGCTTGAGGGCTGTAGAGTCTCTCCAGACAGTCATTATCTCTGCCACTATGAAGTTTTTTTTTCCTAATATCTAAACTAAATCTTCTTTGCTTCAATTTAGCCCTTTATTTTTTGACCAGGCTGCTACAATCACTATAACAAAATGTTCCCTACCTTTTTGCTCAAATACGTAAATAGCCATTGCAACGTTACAGCCTCCGTTGGTTTTCTTACCGGTGTTTTCTGAAGCGTTGAGTGACTTCATTGCCCTCCTCCGGGCTTGGGGGTGTTGCAGCTTTCTTGGAGGACAGTGCCCAGAGCACGCCGCAGGGCTCCCACCCAGGTTTTACAGGAGGAGGGCAGAGGATTACTGTTGTACTTCTGTCTGTACACACAACTATGGGGCTTGCCCTTTTTGCAGTAGATGGCCACTACTGAATTGTGTCAGCTCATGTGGCATGGTGATGCCCAGATCCTCTGCAGTAAAACGTAGACGGTTGGTCCTCTTTGTGTGTGGCTGACTCTTCTTGGGTCAGTGAGGCATCTTTAGTTGTCAATTGAGTAGCATCCTCGTTTTTCAGACCATCTTTCTCTTTTCCCAAGGTCACTTCTCTTTTTTGATTCTAACCTGTGAAATACTTGTAGTCCTTTTACCTGCGGGTATCTTTATGTGTGGGTGAGAGTTGAGGAATCTGCCCGCCTGGTTCTTTAACACAAACGCATGAATGAGAGTGAGTACCACCATCACTGTTTGCCATAAGGGATCTGTATGTGTAAACTGTTAAGAGAAATTGCCGTGACAATAAACTCTGAGAACCTGCTCAAATGCTAGATGATAGTCCTTATTTACAAGTGTGGACATGGACAGTAAATATCAAACAATATTAAGACACGATTGTAAATGTTACCTTGTTAGTGGCATTTGCACAATTTTTATTGTACTTTTTCTTTGCTCCCAAAATATATTCTGCTGCATTCACCTTCGTTGGATTTTTTTGGTTTGACTAGATTTTGAAATCTCCCATTAGATTCATCACAGATGTCAGCTTTCAAAGGAGATACTATTTATCACCCTTCCTCTTAACCTTGCAGCTGCTTCTTCCATATGTATATCACATGAAGGAGGTATTTCATTATTCATATAACTTTTCTATCCACCTTTTTATTCCTTTCCCCCTTTCCTTTTTAAAAGATGTGTGACAATGGCATATTTAATGTAACTTACTTTTCTACCTTTTTGCTGAGAGGAATGTATAACCTGAAATCTATGACCTTTTTTGAGTTCATCTCTTCTGATGCACTGTTCTTTATACGACTCGTCTTTCCTTTTAGACTTTCTTTCTTCTCTCCCCCTCCCCCTCAGTAATGTCTTTTTTAAGATTCTCCATCTTTTATGGTTCTTTTCCTTTGTTCCTCTGATCCTTGCTCCATTGATGCCTCGCGCATGTTCCTACAGTGCCCACTAATGCTCTTTACACTACCTCCCCTCTTTTATCTTTCTCGGAATTGAAAGAAATTACAAGGAAAAAAAA